AGATGAATTTCAGTTTGAAGTGACAATAAACTTGCATTGTGGGTGAGCTAGCAGTATCTATGTGGTGATAGGGCTGGCAGATGTCGCTTGGCAGAAAGAAAATAGTTCCTAGTGCATAAAACTCCTCACAACAACATCTGTGGATTGTCTTAAGCAGCCGGGTTATGATTTCTACAAAGAGACATTGCTGTTGAGTTTTTGAAATGTATTTTTTGGCGCTCTGAGCATCACAAGCTGAGTGCCTTCTAGTTCCATTATATTCAAGAGAAGGCAGACATCTCTACAGCCGATATCTCCAGCACTCAGGGGCTCACACCAAAGCAGCCTAGACTGATAAATACCATTACACATAAGAGAAAAATATAAATAATTTTGAATTTGGGGAGAAGTTCTCCTTTAAACTATAACTGAGCCCTGGGATTCAGCTCTCACTACATTATAAATGACTAAAACTAATACAACCCATTTGTCCATTTTGCCTGCGGCACTGTGCAGTAGAAATATTAATAAAGCAAAGTATAGTTAGGTCAAATCTTCCCATTGTGAATACATCTCCACATATTTGCATACATAATGGTCAAAGTGTTCAGAGCATGTTACACTGCGCTGCACACTGATACATATATAATATAAAGTGATGGACTGGACAGAAAGAAGAGGAGAACAGGGGAGAGGGAAGGGGAGAAGGCGGCAACAGAGAAGCGTCATATTTCATCCTTTCCCTTTCTAGGAAAATTAGAAATGACAGATAGATGGACGAGAGGAAGGAAAAAGAGAGACTAACCTAACACCGGTCCTGGAAAACACTAGGTCAAAAGAGTAACCAAAAGGAAATTTTTTTATTTCTAATCCAGAACTGACAATTTAAATTGAGCATAAAAACAGGTTCTTTCATTTAAATTAAAGGAATACCTTCCTGTAGTTGTACACAACATGCAGAACCTGTCACAAATAGTAATCAAACATGCAAACAAACATGTAACTGAGCTGCAAAGCTCTATGTTTCACAGCCTTTAGGGGAAAGGTTCAGGTCTCAAAGCGGGCACAGCACATGTGTGTGGTTGTGCAGCACGATGAGGTAACTCACGCCGCGCTGTCACTATGCACCCTGCAACCCTCCTGGGACCCCCTGCAAAAACTGCAATGTGTTAGTGTGTGTGTTAAGGAGACTGCAGGACTATATTTAGGAGCAAAACATGGGGCCAAAGACCTGTGACATGCCTCTTAAGCACAAATACAGCAAACAGGGGAAGCGAATAAAGGAAATAAAGCACTTTCATCCTTAAAGCTGCATGTTTCAGAGCTTACTATGACATGTGGGAGTGACACCTGTTAATGTCGCCATTTCACGACAAATAGAAATTCTGTTAATGCTTCAATAATATACATGAGTAGAGAAATCCATTACAATAATGGCTCAAACACAGATGAATCATTCATTAGACAAGCTGGTTTAAATGGAAAAATAGGCTCAAATTAGACTTCTTTGGCATGTGGGCATACATGAAAAATCTTTTTGGCAGCTCTTAGTGAAATTTAATGAACTCAGAGAGTGAGTCACTTTGGGCTGAGTTAGTCTGTAACAATGCCACTGTTGGCATATTGACATAAATAGGCTCATTATCCACAGTAACCTGCAAGCGCATGCCATTTTCTGCATACTGTAAATAACAACTGTTGTTTGTACTACACTTACTATAACAGCCTGCATCAGAGTGTGACAGCAATAAGAGAGTATGAGGAGGAAGAAAGATGGCCAACAGGTACTGAGACCACTGTAGTTTATTTGTGCCTATTCTGCTGACCCATATTAATCACAGCAGCTCAAACAGCTATCAAAGGGATACAACAAGTGGTTGGGAAGTTTGAATCAATAATGATACAGTTAAAAGGATTTGTGACTTTCTAAGAATGTGTTGCCTCCTCTGGCAGCATCTGCAGGGTTTAGGAGATCTGAGAGAGCAACAGGCTTCAGGTCAAGTTACTGTGGGCGAGTTTTCTCCAGCTCCACGAGGTGCCAATCAAAGCAATAATGGCATATCTTGTGTGGTCAGGTATTTATGATCAGTTAGCTGTTACAACACGACATTAACACTGCGAACTAGGACAACATGATACGACCTGCAGGTAAATCACTGACAACTGTCAGGGAACCCATAGCTGGCCTCACAGCATCACATGCACGCACAGATTCTCCAACAGTAATCACTGAGTGACACCAGAAACTGGCATTTTGACAGCTGAGAATGTGCACAGACGAATTATCAAAATGGCTACGTATGGTTGAGACACTGCGAAACCGCTTCGGAGTCCCGGTTCGAGTGGACTGCAACCTCGGTGGGAGCTGAGCACGGTTGACGCTGTCAGCCAACCTGAAAGCTAACGTCGGCTAACCTCTGCAAAGCTGCTGCAAGGCAAACTGAATGATCCGGCCAGCTGTCCGCGGGCTAACTGATAGCACTGATTACCCACCAGCAGAGTAACGTTACTGCCAGTTTAAATGTGTGACTGAAGTGATGCCTCTGTGCTGCTACACCTGGTCCTGCTACTGGCGCGTTCAACTCCCAACTAACGTTAGCTAGCCTGCTACCGCCTGCTACTAGCTAGCTGGGTTAGCTTGTAAGTTTAGAATAGCGATTTCGGTTTATTCCATCATGTAAGTAGCTATGCTTCATGTTAGCACACAGTTCTCCAGTCAATATGAGCCACTGACGAGCACTGTCCCGTGAGACAGGAGAGTATTTCACCTCCTGCTCTGACAGCTCACGTTGAGCTCGGTGCACCGACGCTGCTAAGTTTAGCTAGTTAAATGGGCGAGTCCACTATTCCCCAGTAAGTTCCAATTAGCCCAGTTCTCCTCCCTCGTTCCTCCAGTTGATGCTCTGTGAAACGCTAGTTGCTCTTACCTCGCTATCCACGACATCGTGGTAAGCAGGCGGGGGATCAAACCCTCCAGTCCCGGTCCGCCCGCTGTTTTCCCCGTCTCCAGTCGAGCCCACGCCGGGGGCAGGCCCGCTCTCCATCGGCTCGTATCCATACCCGAGTCCGGGGCTTTCGTTTGTCAGGAGCGCCACTGCCTCGTTTATGTCGTTCTTTGCCAGCCGAAGCGCTTTCCGTATCACGTCGGGGTCTGGGAAACCCATGCAGAGGAGCGTCGTTATGTGCTGCTCCTCTTCGGTCTCCATTTTTTGGGGTGTCTCAGTCTCTCGGGCTAATAGTAACGGGGTGTTCGGCACAGCCCTGTAGCTGTGCACGCCGCCATGTTTACAGTCCGGCGATACTAGCCTGTCACGATCTGGCTTCCCCTACAACAGCGCCGACACAGGTTGCCAAGAACTGCATGCCTCTCGCGGGAGCGCGCACAGTCCTGCACGGCAATGGTTTCTAGTAACAGTATTTTTTACTGTCCGGGGAATCAGGAATGTATGGAAGTCCATTTTCACCCGAAAAAAATTCATGCCTTTAACAAAAATAAATAAATAAAATAAAATAAAATAAAATAAAAAAATAATACCCATATACCTTATATATATAAAGTGTGT